CAATGCCATTTGATAGTATTTTGCACACAGTAGAACTTTTTTCAAATTGGAATCAATCCTCTCAAACCCTGTCACTGCTTTATCAACTAAACTGATATAATATTCTAAATCTTCTGTCATCATTTCCACAATATTCACAGCATCTTTACAGGCAGGAGCAGATTCCATCTCAAGAAACCCCTTTCTTTGCTCATCCATAGAAGTAACTCCTCAAACATTCAAGTTTTATCATGAGATACAGCAATTCAGTCACATCTTCAGGCTCCCCTTCTAATTCCAACACACTGGCAGTGACAGCCTCCATAGAATTAAAAAGTGAAGTCTTAAACCTCTCAAAATCATCCATGAGGCTTGGAATCAACTTCTTCCAAACTCTGTTAATGTTAATATTTTGACCTCTTCCAATTAATCACAAAAGTTCTTAATGGCATCTGCAATGATGACTCCTTTCCAGAAGATGTTCAATTTACTTTGCTCAGAGCCATCAGAGGAATCATTATTTATGGCAGCTACAGCCTTATAAAATGTATTTCTTAAATAATAAGAGTTCAAAGTCAAAATTACTTCTTCATCCATGGGCTGAAGAATGGATGTTGTGTTAGCAAGCATGAAAATAACATTTATCTCTTTGTACATTTCCATCAGAGCTCTTGGGTGACTAGGTGCATTGTCAGTGAACAGTACTCTTTTGAAAGGAATCTTTTTTCTGCGCAGTAGGTCTCAACAGGAAGGTTAAACTCTTCAGTAAACCATGCTGTAAACAGAGGTGCTGTCATCTAGGCTTTGTAGCTCCATTTATAGAAGGAAGGCAGAATAGATTTGGCATAATCCTTAAGGGCCTTAGGACTTCCTGAATGATAAATGAGCACTGGCTTCAATTTAAAGTTACCAGCTGCATCATCCCCTAATAAGAGAGTCAGCCTGTCATCTGAAGCTTTGAAGCCAGGCATTGACTTCTCTTCTGTAGCTATGAAAGTCCTAGATGGCATCTTCTTGTAATATAAGACTGCTTTGTCTACAATGAAAATCTGTTGTTTAGTGTAGGCACTTTTTTTTTTTTTTGAGATGGAGTCTCGCCCTGTCACCCAGGCTGGAGTGCAATGGCGTGATCTTGGCTCACTGCAACCTCCGCCTCCCCGGTTCAAACAATTCTCCTGCCTCAGCTTCCCGAGTAGCTGGGATTACAAGTTCCCGCCACCACACCCAACTAATTTTTGTGTTTTTAGTAGAGATGGGGTTTCTCCATGTTGGCCAGGCTGGTCTTGAACTCCTGACTTTGTGATCCACCTGCCTCGGCCTCCAAAAGTGCTGAGATTATAGGCGTGAGCCACTGCGCCCAGCCTAGTGTAGCCACTTTCTTAGCTAGACCTTTTGGGTAACTTGCTGCAGCTTCTCCCATAGCACTTGCCACTTTAACCTGCACGTTTATGTTATCAAAAGGCCTTCTTCCCTAAAATGTCACAAACCAACCTCTGCTAGCATCAAGCTTTTCTCCCGAAGCCTCCTTACCTCTCTCAGCCTCTGTAGAATTAAAAAGCATTAGACCCTTGCTCTAGATTAGATCTGTGCTTAAGGGAATGTTGTGGCTGATTTGACCTTCTATCCAGACCACTAAAATTTTCTCCATATGAGCAATAAGGCTGGTTCATTTTCTTATCATTCCTGTGCTCACTCACTGGAGTAACACTTTTAATTCCTTTCAAGAACTTTTCCTGGACAGGAACAGTGGCTCATGCCTGTAATCCCAGCACTTTGGGAGGCCAAGGCAGGTGGATCACTTGAGCCCTGAAGTTCGAGACCAGCCTGAGCAACATAGTGAAACTCCATCTCTACAAAAAATTTTTAAAATAATTAGCTCGGCATGGTGATGCACACTTGTAGTCTGAGCTACTTAGGGAGCTGAGGTGGGAGGATCCTTTGAGCCCAAGAATCAAGGCTGCAGTAAGCCATGATGGCACCACTGCACTCCTGCGTGGGTGACACAGAGAGATCCTGTCTCAAAAAAAACACAAAATTTCCTTTGCACTCACAACTTGGCCAACCATTTGGCAGAAGAGACCTAGCTGTTGGCCTGTTTCAGAGTTCTATATGCCTTCCTCACCAAGCTTAATTATTTCTGGATTTACATTTAAAATGAGAGGCATGCACTGACTCTTCCTTTCACTTGAACACTGAGAGGCCACTGCAGGGTTATTAATTGGCCAAATTTCAATACCACTGTGCCTCCAGGATCAGGCATGCCTAAATTGCCGGCCGGTGAAACAGTCAGAACACATGGCACTTACTAAGTTCACCGTCTTAAGAAGGCCCGGTTTGTGGCACCCCAAAACAATGACAATATCACTGACCACACATCTCCTTAACAGACATACTTAAGAGTGAAAAAGTTTGAAAATATTGTGAAAATTACCAAATGCAGCACAGAGAGACAGAGTGGTGCATATGACATTAGAAAAATGGCACCAATCGACTTGTTCAATGTGGGATCGCCACACACCTTAAATTTGTTTAAAAAAAAAAACAACTCAACATCTTCAAAGCACAATGAAGCAAGGCACAATAAAGTGAGACACAACTTACAGAGAATGATACAATGAGTAATAACGGATAGCAGAAGAGAGAAAGGAAGTTGAGACGCTAAGTTCACTGGCTGCATCATATGTAATAGCTGAGAGCCAAGAGTTATCATTTAAAGCTGGCAAATCATATAAGAGAAACATAAGCACATTTAATCATTTAAAAGATGATGTCCACTAAAATTCTGTGTTGTAAAAAGAGAGAGAAGAGATACCATCACCCATTATAGGGATCGAATACATATTGGTTAACAGATAGAACACTAAGATTATTATATACTATTATGCTTATAAAGTTAGCCCCTAGGCCAGGTGTAATGGTTCATATCTTCAATCCCAACACTTTGGGAGGCCAAGGTGGGTGGATCACTTGAGGTCAGGAGTTCAAGACCATCCTGGCTAACACAGTGAAACCCTGTCTCTACTAAAAATACAAAACTTAGCCAGGTATGGTGGCAGGTGCCATAATCCCAGCTACTCGGGAGACCGAGGCAAGAGAATCACTTGAATCCAGGAGGTGGAGGTTGCAGTGAGCCGAGATGGCACCACTGCATTGCAGCCTGGGTGACAAGAGTAAAACTCCATCTCAATAAATAAATAAATGAAGTTAACCCCTAAGATAAAAATGCAAAACTCTCTAAGTGTTACAAAAAAAACACACACAAATAAAATAAGACAAAGACCAATACAGGAAAGAAGTCATCACAGTTCATTCTAGGATCACTTGCAAAAAGCACTTATCTCGTCGAAATAATGCAGATGTTTCAATTCTATCTAATTAAAATTGGGAAGACAAAAGGACGGGAAAAGAGCCCTTCTGTGGTGGGGCAGGGAGGAAGAAAGAGAACTAACTCCTCATCTTCCGCAATAGGAAGTCAAAAAAAATGCCCAAAACTGAAAATTGCGGAAGTAGTACAAGCATGATATTTAAAGACATGGGGATGAATGTTAAAATCAACAATCAAAATAGATGAAAGGGACAGTCTCTGGAAGGGTAAGAAAAGGTGAGAGGGTTAGAATGCGACTGTTTTTTATAACAAACTTTGTAGAACATTTTGGTTCTTTACTCTGTAACTTTAATAAGAAGTACAATTTTTCAAATGGCAATTGAGCTCAAATGAGTAATCCAAGTTCAACCAACCAACTCATATTTTCCATTCTAACCTTTTCATTAGGTTCGCTAGCCCTTCATTCTGGACAAAGAGATGCTTCATTCTGCTTTGGCTTTTGTTGGAAGCCACCACAATGACTGCATTAATTTAAATGACAGTGTTTCCTAAGTCTCCTCTGAACCTCAAACTATCGTGTACGTGATGAGGACAAAACCCTGACTAAGCGCCCTTACTCAAGATGACCTGCAGAGGAAGAGGTATTAGCAAACGAACGGGTACCTATGGTGGTGATGACAGTTCCCGCAAAGAAAAAGGCACTGCCGAGGTCCCAGTGGCTGCTGTTGTTGGAAGAGTTTCCTATTGGACTGACTCCTGCGTTGTCAGCATCAAGGGCATGCTGCAAAAAAAGGGAAAAAGCACAAGACTCAGTTTAAAAGTTGTTTTTTAAAAAAGAAAAGAAAGGTTCCAGTAAATTATCCCCCTGCTCAAGAACCTGCAATCATCTAAAAAGAACTGGTTAAGTGGATGAGGGTACCATCCCAAAGCAAAATACTATGCGTCCAGTTGTGAACATTAGAAAATTAATGTTACGTGAGAGGGGGGAACACTAGGCTATAGAATATGGTGACATTTATAGAAATCTTGCAGGTATGGGGTGGCATACAAGTTGCTGTGTATACACACACACACACACACACACACACACACACACACACACACAAATGTCTAGAAGAATGTTCACCCCAAGTGGGCATTTCTGCAAGGCAGGATTGTGGTTGCTTTTTCACTGTTTTCTGCCTTATAAGAATGTTTTACATTGAGCTTGTTTCAACAGGGCAGGAGTTAAGAGCCATCCTGGCTGTGCCCGTTGTTAACTTCAGAACCTTGGGTAAGTTATTTGAACCTCTCTAAGGCTAGTTTCCTCATTTGAAAACTAGAGATAATACCTTCCCCACAGGGTTGTTGTGAGGATTAAATGAGATGGTCCAAGTAACACCCTTAGCCCAATGTCTGGCACCAGTTAGGGTTTAACAAACAGTAGCCAATTTCATGATTGTCCTTTTACTCTCCCCTACCCCACACCACACACACACACGTTGTTCTTTTTAAAAATAAGCTACAATGACTCCTCAATGATTACCGAATTTGGAATTCCATACACCTTAACATTTCCAACAAACTGGCCACAATGCTGACTCATTTTCATCTCACACTGCTATAAATTCCCCACTCTGGGCAGGACACGGCAGGAGATGTTCCCTGTACTGATGTACCTGTGCCCTCCCACAAACAGTGCACATCCTCCTGGGTCTAATTCGAGCCCTGCCTCTTCCAGGAGACTTAGTCTATGCATCACTGCTTCACAGTTGCCTCCTTCCCCAAGTTCATACTTCAGCAACAATTAAATATACTGCTAAAAATCCCTCCCTAGCCTCATCACAAGCAGGATACGGTGAAAAACTCCATAGCAGTTCTTCCTGAGCTGGCCCTGCCATTGTTTTTCAAGCCAGGGGAAAAGGTAGGACGTAGTGTCATGGCAGCCCAACTCCATGCTGTTCACACAGGTGAGCTGGGATAGAAAAGCAACAGGTGAAAGCCTTGGAGAAGAGGTAACAGACATAGGAGCTGCTTCTAGAACAACAAACAGAGGCTGTTCCTTGGGCAAACCTAACTCTAGGTAGGGAGAGCAAGACACAAATATTTAAACGTAATTACATTTATCCTAAGTAATGCCCATGGCGTAGAGTGATTGTCACAAATCAGATTACAACTGAAAAAGCCAACCATTGTTACAATTTGCCTTCTTTAATCTGGATTATTTCAAACACTCTGGATGGACCAGGAGATCAACAACCTTTTCCATAAAGGGCCAGATAGTCAATATTTTAGCCTTGGTGGGCCACATATGGTCTCTGTTGTATATTTTTCTTTTTTTTTTTTTTAATAATCCTTTAAAAATATGCAAAAATGATTTTGTACAGCTCAGGGGTTGTACAAAAAGAGGCTGCGAGCTAGATTTGGTAGACTCATAGGCAACTGGCTGGACTATACAGGGGAAAAAGGCACCTTCTGTCAAGTTCTTAATCTATTCTTTTCTGCCTCTAAGAGAACATGGAATATTATGCAAGGCCACAGCCGGCCACTATTTCTAACAAACCCTGGTACCCTAGAATTTAAAATCTGGCTGCATGAGATGTGTACAGACTGTCTTTGCATAAATCAGCCTAATTGACAATGGTCACATAATCATCAGAGGTATGTTCCGCTCTGCTCTAGAGGGGAGACAGATGGTGAGTCCTTTCCACTGGTAACATCTCTGTTTTAACTGTGCCGTATGAGTACCATCAGACCAAGCCACAAAGCTTTCGCCAGGGTTTCTTTCTTCATTATCTATTCAGCTCTGATGAGCCCACTTGGAAATAATACCACAGGGAGAGCTCTAGGCTTCAGTCACTTAGGTTGCCTCAAATCATGCCATCAGTACCTAATATTTACAACTCCTATCAAGCTGTGAAGAGAGGTTAGGCTCACAGAAGTCTCACAGTGCCGAGAATTCCACAAAACGTCACAAGCAAACCCAGCACAGCACACAGAAATATAGATCTGCACATAAGACAAACGGAGATGATGTTGATTTGTCTCATCAAAAAGTCTGAAGATTCCTTTTCAAGTTTCATTTTTCTTGAATTATGTAATTTATAAATATTTAATGTTTACCTATGTAACCCTCAAGAAAGTGTTTATCAGTTGAAAGGAAAAGGAAACTAACATTTGTTACGTGCATGCCTCTCGCTAGGTGCATTCTGTTTTATCCTTTCTACAAGTTGTGTATGATTCCACTCTATTCTTTCCACAGCTCACAATAAAGTAGTATTATCCCCCACCTTAGAGATGGGGAAACAGGCTCAGGAAACTTAAGGAACTTGTCCTAGGTCACCCAGCCAGGAAGTGGAGAGGCCAGGATTTGACCCTGTCTGGCCCAAAGCAGATGTTTTTGGCTTTCCTCTATCTTTGGTACCCAGAATGCACGCCACCTCCCCCACTTCCATCCTCACCTCCAGACAGATGAGGAAGGAGGACAGCCATTGTCCCAGAATTTAGGCAGAAGAGGCCTTACAAGGGATCATTTCTAATTAGTCTACTTCCTTGAACATGAAAATGGAGACACCAAACTTCATTTGGCCCTTGAAGCTGATTAGAGATGAGTCACTCTGCATTAAAATAAAATTAGAGAATAAATTAATTAAAGTGGAAAAAGGCTGACTTTTATACCCAAAAAGGGAGGGATCAGAGAAAAGGGAGAAGGCCTGAAAAAGGAGGACAAAAGAAATACAGCGAGAAAAAGATGTGTCAACTGACACATGGGAAATTCAGGCTCAATAGCGGCAATGCCCGGGGCTTTGAAGAGCAACTCCATCTAGTATCCCATTTCAACTGAGTTCTGTCTGTGAAGTCAATTCCTCTCTCCCTGCCAAATCTCCAGTAAAATGGGCAACACACCTAAATGCCTTGTGGAAGCAGTTTTGTGGAAATTATACATAAGGGTTGTTATGAACACAGCAGGGCCACTGATGCTCTGAACTAACTCCTCGAGAGCAAGACTCAATGAGAAGGAGAAAAATAAGCTCTCCCACAAGTCACCGAACTTCTGGTAAGGCTTTAGAAAACCCCAAGACTGAGAATGACATTTGATTTTCTCTCTGATTTTTATGGCTTTGAAAATCTCTGGCAAACAACCAGAATTCAAACGAATCAGCAAACTTGGGTTATAACTGACTGTTACCTCTTGAATTGGCAACAACATTTTTAACTCAATAATAACAATTCTAATTGAGCTTCTAGTTCTAATTTCTATTAATTTTCGATAGTATTTTCTGATCATCTTAATCGTTTGAGCTCAGGTAAAACATTTTGAAATTAATTGCATTTGCTTTTAAGATTTTTCTCTGCATTCAGGCTGCAGAAGCGAATGAAGGGCAGCCCATTAGGAATGTGTGAGCACACAGATGGTGAAATGACACAACTGTGCTCTGTACATTTAACTCAAAAGATGTTACAGGGTAGAGGTTCAACCAATGCTATTCAATAATTTCAGACTCAGTGAGAATCATTTGTTCACTTACAAGTTCAACCATTATCAACCTCAGAGAGATCTTATGAAGATGAAAAAAATACACACAGATAGATAATTCAGTAGAAGTAGACAGATAATTAGATATGGAGGATATTGTAGATAAAAAGGCACTACTTTAAATTTTAATTCCATTCCTTCTTGGATACTTTTTAGCCTCTAAGCTGGAATTTCCAGCACTCACCTATCTACCCAGTAAATGACCCAGGAGTGAATGTTTTAAATCAACAATAAATAAATGAACAAACTAAAATAATAAATTTAGATATATTTTCTTCCCCGAGGTGTAAGAGGAAAATATTTTACTTTTTTCTAAAATTAGACAAACACAAAAGCAACTCAACACCAACAACAAAATAATAGATTTATTTCTTTTAAAAAGAGGTGGAGAGCTGACTTGAAAGAGGGCAAGATCTAAAAGATTCTATGCCCCTTTCTCTCCCTTGTCCTCCCTCCCCCACACCAGGCATTAGGACTACCTGACATGCCTAAGAGAGAAACAGCAACCTCTCACAAAGTGAGGCGGGTCTGCAGCTGATGCGCAGAAAGAGAAGAGGAGGAGGTAACTGGACCCTTCACAGGACCCCCCACCAGGTTTCCCCCACCAGTTTCCTCCCATCAGGCAATGCCAGCTACATGAATCACTGCTCCAGACAGCGCGAGATACCATCATGAGCGTTAGTGCTGCACTGGGATGAATGATGGCCCGCAGGGGACCACTAACTGTCTGTGGCTTTTCTCCTATGATCTGTGCACTCAGTGAGATCATCTGTTTCTCTGTTTCCTTATGTGCCACCAAAAAGAAAGACAAACAAAGGTGCAGCAGTAATCTCTCGGCTTTCTCTGATTGGCTGAAGAATACAACAGATTCGTGCCCTATGCATGGATGCCAATAGGTAGGTGACCAGTTGATATATTGTCCAAAGCAGGGAACTTGCAAACAGAAAGGTAGCTCTGTTCACGACTATGCTGGGACCACGGGACAGGTGCAACCCAGGATGCATGGTCATTTTACTAACAGGCTGTTTGTCTCTCGAGAAAGAACTTCTGCAGGCTGCATACACAATGTTCTTACTGCCTACATGGCACAGGCAGCAAAGGTATTATGAATTGGGGATTCAGCCAGGGACTGAGGCAGGGTAAGGGCATGAGTGTGGAAAGTGGCTTCTGAAGTGTATTAAAAGTGAGTCTATTCCAGCCATTGGCAGTTGGAAGGAAAGCCACAAGCCCTGTGAGAAAGGCAATCGGCAGACCACATTCATTAC